CGGACAGCTATTGTTGTATTGGCTGTTGTCATTTTTTTATTGGACAGTCTAAGGGAAAAGAGGTCACTTCCCCTGACTAAATAGTCAGATATTGCATGTTTTAAAAATTACTGCTGCACACCAGTTGAAAATCGCTGATCTAGAGTATTAAGCCATTGGTGGTTTTGTGAGGCTAGGGTGAAATGAGCAAAGTGTTGGACTTGGGTTAATTTAGCTTTTTCCACATCTCTGGTACTTAAAATATTGCTTCCCTAAAATGGAATTCTTCTATCTTCCCAAAGCTGGCTTCTTATCCTACTACATTCTTAGTAGTGTACCCACCATCTTATTACCATTCATCTAGGCAGCAGCAATTCTTACAAAAGCTCTCCAGGCTCCCTATACTTAATCAGAGGTCATCCGACCCTATCTTTTCAGTTCTACATGGAGCACCCTTTATAAGTTCTCATGTAAACATTTAATATGCCCATTCAGCAAGCCTTCCTCCCTCCATTTTCCTGATTTATTAAACATACACATGGAATTTATCATCTTTATATCGTCCCCTTCACCTTAAATTTTTTTTTTTAAAAATCATTGTAGCTTTTTGCTTTTTTTACATATACAGCAGGCCCTCAAAGTCATTTTATTCAGTGTGGTTTCTTAATAACAGTGTGATGCTGTAGAAACTTAACTCTTGGTTTATATTAGCCTGTGGCAAAATTAGTTTTGTTGTATATTTTTTAAAATATTTATTGATTTTTCTAGAGAAAGGAAAGGAGAGAAACATCAATTTGTTTCACTTGTTTATGCATTCATTGGTTGCTTCTTGTATGTGTCCTGACAGAGATCGAACCTGCAACCTTGGCACATATGAGGATGATGCTCTAACCAACTGAGCTATCCAGCTGGTTTTGTTCTATGTTGTTTTGCTTAAAGTCGCAGAATCTGTCAATGATTAGTGAGAATTTGCTGTATATGTACATACACACACAAACACACGCAGTTATTTGTGTTTTGTAGATGATACTCAGTTGTGAGTGCTTGAAGGCCAGGGACTAGTTTCCATCAAATATTTAATAAATGTTGCATAAATGAATTCAAAGTGTTCATTTTTCGTATTCCATTTTGACATTTTCCTGTATGTTTATACTGTATCTTATATATTCACTGTTCAGTTCCAAAGAGTATCGTATTGAAAATAATTTAGATTTGCCCTAGTTGGTTCAGTGGTTAGAGTGTTGGCCCACAGACCAGAGTCCTGGGTTCAGTTTTAGCCAAGGGCATGTACCACGATTGCAGGCTCGATCCTTGGCCCGGTTGGGCGAATGAGGGAGGCAACCAATCAATCTCAATCTCTCTCTCTCTCTCTCTCTCTCTCTCTCTCTCTC